TGATGACATGATTATAAATCAATTAAAATCTGCAGTTCCACAAAACTATCAACACTTATCACAACAAGAAGGAGACTAGGGAAAAGGCCACATCGTGACCACAGAAAATTACAACCACACAGACAAAAATAGCACCAAAAAAAATCATGACCACAGCTTAACACATATTTCCCTATACTTTCACAACAATGAAAGCCCAGCAAATGACAAAATCTTACAATGTTTTAAAAAATTCCACTCTAGATTAGTAAGCATCGTTCAATAAACAGATGAATTTTCATTACATTTTATGCATGCAGTTTCAAATTTGTGCAAAAAATGAAAGAATGTCTGTCTGATTAGAGGTTCCAACAACACAGTTGTTGTTGAGACAATGTATTAAATCTGACAAGTGTTGTTATAGCATTCAGCCCTTCTCTGGAATGACCTATGGGGAAGGCCAGCAGTACACAAGAATGCTGTGTAGTGGAACAATGGTGTAAAGAAAGAGCTCTACAGAACTACATACCATGACAGAGAACAGAACTGATTAAGTAAAAAGCAAGTCTGAAAAAAAGAAACAGACGAAGTATACCACACAAGAATAATTGACAACTAAAAACTAAGTTGAATTTTAAAAACAGCTCACACACCAAACGACAACAAAGATTTCTAGAGTTGAAAAATCCCTCTTCGTTTAATTATAATGAGACCCAACAAATCCAAAGCTCTGAAAAGTGACAAGCAGTCACTGATCTATCACTACTACATCATATTTCTTTTGATCTCCAACCAATGCCTAATGTTTTCATCTTTCTTACAACACCGCCAGATCAATAAAGTTGTGAGGACAAAATAGCACAGCACAGACACCCCCCTCACAACATTCACCAAAACTCCAGTGCCTTTTCCATCCACTGCAATGCAATATGCATTGACCATCGAAGCGACTCACCGACATATATTCAAGACACTGATAAAGCCACCTTTTCCAAGACATTTCTAGTTTTGCAAGATACAAACACACCCAATCTTTTCATTGTGGTATTGGGTGAAAAAATACATGTAAAAACCTTCAACAATCACCAAAAAGAACGTATGTGTCTGCAAGAATGTCTGTCTGATTGGGTGTTCCAACAACACAGTTGTTGTTGTGACAATGTATTCAATCTGACAAATGTTATAGCATTCAGCCCTTCTCTGGAATGACCTATGGGGAAGGCCAGCAGTACACAAGAATGCTATATGATGACATGATTATAAATCAATTAAAATCTACAGTTCCACAAAACTATCAACACTTACCACAACAAGAAGGAGACTAGGGAAAAGGCCACATTGTGACCACACAAAATTACAACTACACAGACAAAAATAGCACAAAAAAATCATGACCACAGCCTAACACATATTTCCCTATACTTTCACAACAAATGAAAGCCCAGCAAATGACAAAATCTTACAATGTTTAAAAAAATTCCACTCTAGATTAGTAAGCATCGTTCAATAAGCAGATGAATTTTCATTACATTTTAGGCATGCAGTTTCAAATTTGTGCAAAAAATGAAAGAATGTCTGTCTGATTAGAGGTTCCAACAACACAGTTGTTGTTGAGACAATGTAATCAATCTGACAAGTGTTGTTATAGCATTCAGCCCTTCTCTGGAATGACCTATGGGGAAGGCCAGCAGTACACAAGAATGCTGTGTAGTGGAACAATGGTGTAAAGAAAGAGCTCTACAGAACTACATACCATGACAGAGAACAGAACTGATTAAGAAAAAAGCAAGTCTGAAAAAAAGAAACAGACGAAGTATATCACACAAGAATAATTGACAACTGAAAACTTAGTTGAATTTTAAAAACAGCTCACACACCAAACGACAACAAAGATTTCTAGAGTTGAAAAATCCCTCTTCGTTTAATTATAATGAGACCCAACAAATCCAAAGCTCTGAAAAGTGACAAGCAGTCACTGATCTATCACTACTACATCATATTTCTTTTGATCTCCAACCAATGCCTAATGTTTTCATCTTTCTTACAACACAGCCAGATCAATAAAGTTGTGAGCACAAAATAGTACAGCACAGACACCCCCCTCACAACATTCACCAAAACTCCAGTGCCTTTTCCATCCACTGCAATGCAATATGCATTGACCATCGAAGCGACTCACCGACATATATTCAAGACACTGATAAAGCCACCTTTTCCAAGACATTTCTAGTTTTGCAAGATACAAACACACCCAATCTTTTCATTGTGGTATTGGGTGAAAAAATTCATGTAAAAACCTTCAACAATCACCAAAAAGAACTTATGTGTTTGCAAGAATGTCTGTCTGATTGGGTGTTCCAACAACACAGTTGTTGTTGTGACAATGTATTCAATCTGACAAATGTTGTTATAGCATTCAGCCCTTCTCTGGAATGACCTATGGGGAAGGCCAGCAGTACACAAGAATGCTATATGATGACATGATTATAAATCAATTAAAATCTGCAGTTCCACAAAACTATCAACACTTACCACAACAAGGAGGAGACTAGGGAAAAGGCCACATTGAGACAACAGAAAATTACAACCACACAGACAAAAATAGCACCAAAAAATCATGACCACAGCCTAACACATATTTCCCTATACTTTCACAACAATGAAAGCCCAGCAAATGACAAAATCTTACAATGTTTTAAAAAATTCCACTCTAGATTAGTAAGCATCGTTCAATAAGCAGATGAATTTTCAATACATTTTATGCATGCAGTTTCAAATTTGTGCAAAAAATGAAAGAATGTCTGTCTGATTAGAGGTTCCAACAACACAGTTGTTGTTGAGACAATGTATTCAATCTGACAAGTTTTGTTATAGCATTCAGCCCTTCTCTGGAATGACCTATGGGGAAGGCCAGCAGTACACAAGAATGCTCTGTAGTGGAACAATGGTGTAAAGAAAGAGCTCTACAGAACTACATACCATGACAGAGAACAGAACTGATTAAGTAAAAAGCAAGTCTGAAAAAAAGAAACAGACGAAGTATATCACACAAGAATAATTGACAACTGAAAACTTAGTTGAATTTTAAAAACAGCTTACACACCAAACGACAACAAAGATTTCTAGAGTTGAAAAATCCCTCTTCGTTTAATTATAATGAGACCCAACAAATCCAAAGCTCTGAAAAGTGACAAGCAGTCACTGATCTATCACTACTACATCATATTTCTTTTGATCTCCAACCAATGCCTAATGTTTTCATCTTTCTTACAACACCGCCAGATCAATAAAGTTGTGAGGACAAAATAGCACAGCACAGACACCCCCCTCACAACATTCACCAAAACTCCAGTGCCTTTTCCATCCACTGCAATGCAATATGCATTGACTCACCGACATATATTCAAGACACTGATAAAGCCACCTTTTCCAAGACATTTCTAGTTTTGCAAGATACAAACACACCCAATCTTTTCATTGTGGTATTGGGTGAAAAAATTCATGTAAAAACCTTCAACAATCACCAAAAAGAACTTATGTGTTTGCAAGAATGTCTGTCTGATTGGGTGTTCCAACAACACAGTTGTTGTTGTGACAATGTATTCAATCTGACAAATGTTGTTATAGCATTCAGCCCTTCTCTGGAATGACCTATGGGGAAGGCCAGCAGTACACAAGAATGCTATATGATGACATGATTATAAATCAATTAAAATCTGCAGTTCCACAAAACTATCAACACTTACCACAACAAGGAGGAGACTAGGGAAAAGGCCACATTGAGACCACAGAAAATTACAACCACACAGACAAAAATAGCACCAAAAAATCATGACCACAGCCTAACACATATTTCCCTATACTTTCACAACAATGAAAGCCCAGCAAATGACAAAATCTTACAATGTTTAAAAAAATTCCACTCTAGATTAGTAAGCATCGTTCAATAAGCAGATGAATTTTCAATACATTTTATGCATGCAGTTTC